AAGTCGCAGATCTGTCCCGATGGGAAACTGAAACTAGCAAGTGAAGCAGCGCACTAGTGATCCAAACCGACTTCATTATTTTTCGCAAGCATTAAAATTCATGATGAGTGACCGACATGGAGAGCAACATGATGTCGCATTCTTCTGGATTTAGTTATGACAAGCAAACAGATCGGATACCTGTAGTCATCGCCAGTCGGTTGGCACGTCGCTTTGCCAAATGGAACAATTTTCAACGAAATCCTGTTTGTGACCGAGAGCTTTTCCCATGTTGGTAGCAGCTGCCGGTGGACGAATCGTGAGGTGTCGCCGCACTGTGCTTCAATATATACCGCCAGATTTACCTTATTTTTGAACTTATCTGCTGCATCTTCTTTCTAAAATTTAAAAGGGAAAATGTGCTTGAAACGTCCTACACAGGACCACTTAAAACTGAGTTTTATGCTATATATATTTAATAATTTACACCTGAATTTTATGAAAGACTGATTGTCCAGTTAATCAGTCTATTATTCGGTGTTCCGAGATTTAGTCACACAACCTCCACAATTAAGCGATCGCTCCCCGTCTACTTGTCTCTTTGTCTTCTGCTCTCTCTCTCTCTCTCGCCAAACAACCAATTAACCATGGCTTGCTTCTTCGTAAAACAAACGGCTGCCCGTTTTGTGCCCCTTTTTCTGTAAAGCATGCAAGCCCAACGGTCACCATCCAAGCATCATGAAGGCAGACAAAAACCCATCGTAGCAAACATTGAAGACACGGTCAGTCTCTGTTGCTGAAGTAGTTTTGCACTGTATTATGAGAACGACGACAGTGTCAGCTTCAATTCGAAGTGTCTTGAAGCGTCCATGGGCCCGAATGACCATTCGCCATGCTTGAAATGAACAGGCAAGATGAGCGCTGTGCGCATGGCCCGCTACCGTTTCGAGAATCTGTATGTAGTTGGCCAGTTGAGGTCGGCTGTCAAAATGCGTTCCCCTTAGTAGTCATTCTTACGATGCTTGGCTGATTAGCGCTGAATGTCGTTCGCCAATATTTGTTTTCCTGCGAAACAGGAACTGGCTATTCGGA